GCCGAAACGTTGTGTTCTCTTTCTTCTTTTTTTCAGCATGGAATAAACCTATTACTTGTTCCTTTGCAGCCTACGCATGCTGACGCAGCTACCCACCTGATCCCAGAAAAGATGTGCTACAATGCTCCTCATAGTTTTGAGTAGAGAAATGCGGCTATGAAAAATACTGTAATAATGTGATTCTCTCTAAGAAGAACTGCTGTGTTTTGAACTCATCAAACTTGACATTAAACCTAATAATGCTTGTGATCAGAGCTTATCACTGGCCCTACATATATGGCTTTACAGCTCCTCCATTATATAAAATCAGTTATCAACAGTAACACTACATACACATTAAAAGTGCAACTTTGGAACCTAATTAAGGACAAACAGTACTAGCCATTTAATTGTGATGCCTACATGCACACAAACCTGCTACTACCTCGATCAGCTAGTATTAATGCATTTAAACGCAGAAGGATAGCGTAACATGTTTGTCCCACTGTTCTCACCGTCCTTCCTCAGCCTATCAGCTACACACAACAATGCAAACCAGGAAATGATCATCAGTTGTTATGATACAAAGTTCATCAGCTTTGGAAAAGAAGACGTAATAAAGAAGCAGCACACATGAGCATTTGTTCCAGATTTTAATGAGGCATATATCTTCGTTTTTTTTCCTACATACGAAAGACGTAACGGGATCCTTTTTCTTACAATGCACAGGGCTAAAGTAGTATTTGGGCACTTGTCTCCAGCATCTGCTTTAGGACCACAAACATGTATAAAAAGGGCAGATTGCAGTCATTCTTTTCCAGCCAGTCCTAATGATATTGTTGTGGTCCACGGCCTGAGAACAGCAATCGGCAAGGCCAAAAGAGGAGCATTTAAGGTAAAGGTGGGAGAATTGGAGAGGACAACGTAAAAAGTGCTTCTGTTCAAAAACACTTGTAATAGGAGTTGGGGGGCAAGGGAAAAGTACGACTGATCTTATAAACCATTTTCTTACGCTCCCAAAGAGCGAGCTGTACAGTATGTACAAGTACCTGAAGTTATTTCAGTCTCCATTGTACTGTATGTATGGAGTCGTCTCATCTCATGTTTTACAGATACATTACTTTATTTCAGAGTGCAAATTAGAAACTGGTGTTGACCACTATTTTCCCTTTAAAATTATAGGGGATGTATATTGTCGAATTTAGTTTTCGAATACCCTTCTTAGGTGAAATTGTGATGTGCTTGTGATAACTGGCAACATGTGCAAGTCTCCCTTACACTTATTTTTTATTTAACAATGTTCAGATTATTTCATGCCATCACACTTTGATAGTTGTCTCTGTAAAGGAAGGAATCGGATGTTTTTATTACTGAATGTTTAGCAAGTCAGAGATTGGTCACGTTACAGTAGTTGCTCATGCAGTACACATGACGTTGCGGTGTGTATAGTTTATATCACCACTTACAGCAATGTAGCAGTTATTCAAGGGCTACTTCAGCCCCAGCTCGCTGGTATATAGAGTAAAACTAGTGTACAGAGGTTCAGCTGAGCACTAAGATGCTATCACTGTGTTTGTGCGCGTGTTCTTAGGACACCACCCCAGATGAGCTGCTCAATGCTGTGATGACAGCAGTTCTGAGGGATGTGGGCTTGACTCCGGACAAAGTGGGAGATGTCTGTGTTGGTAAGTAGAAATAGAGACACGCTAACCTCCTCTTCCAGGAGGAGTTAAAGGGTGTACAGTTTTATTTGAATTCCTCATTTCCTAGAATACAGTTTCTGCTTGAAAATTGTTTTTTAACTTGAAATACTTTTTAAAGTAGAATTGACTTCACTTATGCATTACTTTTGACAACCTGTACAAACGCATATCTTTTTCATTTTACTAGTGAATCCAGAGCAAGGGGTCACAATTTCAGTCACAGTGCACAGTTGGATGAATGTGAGAGACAAATGCTATGCCTGGTGATATTTTGCTTATTTTAAATGCACTGTAATAATTTGTGATTTCTGATACAATGTTGAAAGAAAGTGACTTTACAGCTTTAGGAACATTAAGTTGACATATGAGAGAAGGCCATTCATCCAAAACGCAATTCATGAAGAAGTGTTTTCTGTTCTTTATTGTACATGCCCTTCCACATTGTTTCTTCTTGGGTCCTTTCATTTGTGTTTAACCGTTTATTCTGAAGAAATCCATTAGGTTCACTTTGAGTATTTGGAATACTTGGATCAGGTGTTTTTCTTCTGAACATAGTGAACAACATTGTTTGCCATATTCTGAATGGGATTTACTAGTGATTTATATGCTATGTTTTACACTATACATTATAATCTGCAGTATCCATATATCCATATTTGTATCTATGCAATATTGATAGACGATGCTGAAGAGAGTTAAAGTGGAATAAATAATGATTAGCCCTAGACCTTGACAACAAAATTCAATTTTGTTTTTAATATATGTTAAAAACCAATATTCTGTTGGTCTTTTTAATAACTTCCCACACTGCCATTAATGAAAAGATGTAAATGGTGTGTCAGCATAAACACTGATCCTTTGTATCCGTAGCCTCTTCAAGAATGGTGTTTTCATTTTTGTACAGTATTGTACAGTGATACCTGCGTGTAAAACGGCACATCTCTACCTAAATGGCATCTGCCAGGTGGTTGCTGAGTTTGGAATTCATATTGCTTAGATGAGGAAGGAACCATTGTGATGTTTTCAGTGCCTCTTATTTTTGTCCTGGATCAGCTGGTTGACTTTCTCTTCGGGACCTGTACTCCTCTTATTAAGAGCCAAGCACAGAGCAGCTGAGTGCTGTGTGTGATGCTGTTTTTGCCCCCTTTCTGCTCTGTGTAGGCAATGTGCTGCAGCCTGGAGCAGGGGCAGCCATGGCAAGAGTGGCTCAGTTCTTGAGGTGAGTGGTCTGTTTGGGGACTAACTGCCTTTCAATAGCCCTCTGGAATTTTGTGGCTTACCTTTATACTCTGAAGGAGCCTGAGTAGCAAATGAAAAGGTCATGTCTGTATTGTTTAGATCTAAGTAATATCCAGGTAACAGTGAAACACCCTTATACAGTATGTACCTGTTAACAATATAATGTCTTCTTTAAGTGCACTGTGCATTTCTGTTCTTAAAAGTGCATTGTAGTGGTTTCGAAATGCACTAATTAATAATGCACTGCTATCAGATTAACTTGTTTTGAGTTTGATACTATGCAAGTTTCTGAATAGTCTGCAGACCTGGTTGGGATTGTCAAGACATGGGGGTAAAAAAGTGTGCTTGTAAACTTGGATCTGCAAAAATGATTGCCATGTGTATGGCATACAGTCAAAATCGGAATCCATCTGTACTGTCACTGGACTCTAGCAGTACTATTGATGTATGGATCCAGACCCATGGAATGGTGGCTAACAGCCATAACTCAATGGGTGTCAGAAAAAACCCATAAACTTGATTGCCGTCCTCAGGTGACTTAGAGCTGCCAGTATCTGACAGAGGCACCACCAGAAAAAAAACTTTATGAACCATCATCACTGAACTATACAACAGCAATTTCCTTTTCAATGTCCTGCAGATTCATTATAGAATGTGTTTTGTGATAAATCCTGAATTTCTTTTTGAAAAATTACATTCTTTTAGTGGATGTATAGTAATACTTGTAGGGGTCTTTCTTGTGAATGTTGGCCATCTGTTTGTTACTAATAGCACTGCAAGCATTATTTTCACTGTATTCCTGGGACCTGTGTGCTAACTTTTGTTAGAGCAACAATAATTCAACATACTGTAATCTCTTTTGTCACAGTCGTATGTGATCCCACACAGAAAGAATTGAGAGGATCTGATCTCAGTTGACTGCTCTATGCATGATTTTTTTAAGTTTAATGTGCGCAAATGGTGCTAAGATGTTGCATCCGAAACAGAAATTACTAGTCTGAACAAACCAAACCTCATGCTCTGTTCTTTATCTTGATTCTTGGGTTGCTTTTCTAACCATTGGCATTATTGTACATACGGATTCAGTAGAAAATATCTGTAAAAACTATTTCAGTGGAAAGGTACATGATGCTGTCTGTGTATGCTTGTGTACTGTAACCTGGAGAACAGCTCAGTGTCTGATTTTCTCTGCAGTGGATTCCCTGAGACAGTGCCAGTTTACACAGTGAACCGGATGTGCTCCTCTGGGTTGCAGGCCCTGTTCAATGTGGCAGGTCAGATTTAAGACTTTTTCATGTGGAAACGAGTTCATGAAAGCATGTTGTAAAGTTCTGCTCCATAACAAGTGAAGAAAAGTAAAAGACAAATCTGCATTTTTATTTTTTACGCAATAATTGTATTGTGAAACTCTTTCTGTAACTTTGATTCGAGTGTCAGTGTGGATGCCTTGAGCACCAGTGATCAGGATATGATTACCAGTTTCAACTAAGAAATATATTTTTATTTTATTTATTTATGACGAATTAAGCTATTACGAAATAATATTTCTGAGAAACAATTAGTGTCCAATTAATTTGACTGCATGAAAACAATGCTCTAAATCAGTGATAGTTTATTGTAATTATATATTATTATACTTTATCTTTGGAACTGTGTTTAATGTCATTGTTTCTTAATTTTTAATTTTAAATATTTCATGCCAAAAGGTGTCACTGAAAATGGATACAACCCTCTTGAAATATATTAATTCCAAAAAAGAGACAATGCCACCAACAGTTAAACTAACAACAAATTAAATCACATCTCTACCTATTTTACATTTTCTTTACGCAGTGCCACATAAATGGCAAATTATAGATAAATATTTCTAGTTCTGCAAGTACTAAATTAGTACATATACCTCCTGCATAACAATAGTGGTAAATGTTTCTTAAACTTCTGCCATGCAAGATGCATAGATACCAATTTCTGACCAAGTCTGTGGCACCTTTTCTCTGAATCCCGATCGTCAGACAAATTTGATAAATGTGAGCAGTAATGTATTCAGACTGTTAGTGACATTCTCATTATCAGTTAAACAGAGTGTGAATTAAAACGACTTGAAATAGCGGCAAGTCTTATCTTGCAATTAGCATTTGTTAATAAGGCCATTTCTGTTTTAATATATTTTTGTTTCAGATGATTTTAATAGAGAACTTCAGAAACAACTTCATTTGTAGAATAGTGTAAAGGGGTCAAGGGTTTGATTACTTGCTTAAATTAGTAACCATTTTATTTTTGGGGGGAGTTAATTAAAAGAAGCCAAATAAATCTAATTTACCCCTTTTGGTTGAATATTCTTTACATAGAGCAGTACTTTATTACCTTTTTAGGTGGCATCAGGAATGGTTCCTATGACATTGGTCTTGCCTGTGGGTATGTAGTCCTTCTGTTTTTCTATATGCATAGGCTGTCAGGATAGGACTTAAGTATCTCATTTGTTTTCATCTTGGATATGCAGTGCATCTCACATCTTGTACACACAGTTATTTGCTGATTTGGCTTGAGTATTGCTGGGATTAGACTGGATAAAACTTCAAGAGTGAATCTTCCACTACAAGATTTCAATCTCTGTATGACAGAATCATCACTTACAAACATGCAACTTACATGAAATATGAAAATCTGCTCCCAAATAAACTACCTCTCCTTAACCAGAAGAGACTGTCCAGTTAAGCTATCAGGGCCTATACCTACTTGTTTAGAGACAGGGACTTAATGGCAATGCATGTTGTTTCTGTTTTGAGCTGGGAGCCGGTGATATTGAGACTTCCAGACAAAAGCAGTGCGGAATTCTGGTTTGTGCTGCAGGGTCGAGAGCATGTCTTTGCGCTCGGTGGGGAACCCAGGCGATGTCAGCTCCAGGCTGGTGGAGAATGAGAAGGCCCGAGACTGCCTCATCCCCATGGGGTAAGACTCACACTGAGAAAGTCAGAAACAAATCTACCTTGTAGCTGGGACCTTTTCTACACAGTATCGTTTGGATTTAATGAATCCTCCCGTGGATGTTGTGTACAATGCAGCTATTATAATGCCTTATTTATTTCATATTTTAGAGCCGAACAAAGATGGATTGCAAGTTAACATCATGAAAACATTTTTTGCTTTTAAATACATTTATTTCTTAACGGAAGGTTCTGTGGCAGTAATATATTTGTTGTTTTTGTAGAAACTGAGCAGCCTGTGGAAAGAATGAGAAAATGCTCAGCCAGAGTCTAGAGTTTTATATAATCTCTTACTCGGTGGATCCTGACAGCACTTGTCAGTATACCTGCTGATCTGCAAAAGGCTGAGGGAGGGCTTCTTGAAAAAGGGTCAGACAAACAGAAAAGGTTAAGTACCCACACAATGACTTTCTTGTCACACATTTTGTTATTTTGCCTACCTTTAGTGCTGCCTTGATATATTGGACCTTCCTAGACCTTCCTTTGTGCTGAACATCCTGCTTTAAACAATCTCTGGTATTAGCAACTTTGAGACTGCACTATTCCAAACCAGTTAATATGCACATTTCACGTTTCTGTGACAGAATCACTTCAGAAAACGTAGCTGAAAGGTTTGGAATCTCCAGACAAAAGCAGGATGCCTTTGCTTTGGCTTCACAACAGAGGTAAGAGTGAATAAAGGTGTCACAATATTTTTGCAAAGCTGCGAGATGTGAGATTCTACTTGTTTACTTTTTATTGATGAGTTCCATTTATGTGTGAATTTAAAAATATGAATCTGAGGTAAAACATTTAATCCAGAGGCTCCTGCAATTAAAATGTAATGATTGAACTGTTAGGGCTGTAAAAAAGTAACAGCTGTCTTATCAAGCTCTTGCCAAGTGATTTACAAGCCCAGACACCCCTTACAGAAGTGTTCAGCAGTATAGAAGTGCTCAGAAGTTTGCAATGCTTTTTTAAAAGGCAAATCTGGGGCACAGAATTTCTTTAATGACTAGAGACTGTGTTTTAGAGCTGCGAGAGCTCAGAAGCAAGGGCTGTTTACCCAGGAGATCACTCCTGTGACCACCAACTTTGTGGAAGATGACGGGACACAGCGGATAATCACAGTGACCCAGGACGATGGGATTAGGCCAGGAACCACACTGGAGGGTCTGGCAAAACTAAGGCCTGCCTTTAAGGAGGATGGTAGCACCACTGCAGGTGAGGGCCTGCACCATTCCCTTCAAAGGGACCTGGACCTTCACTCACACTTTTCTTTTTTTTTCTTTTAATGAATAAATAATACAGTAGGTTAATGTTTTGGCCACCAGGCTGTTTTAGTTTTAAATGTTTTTTCGTCACGTTTATTAAAACTGGGGAAAGGTGTAAATTACCAAATAAAATTGAAGTCTTACTCATCTAACAACCCATCCCACAGTCTCAATGAATTTGTATTGTTATGTACAGAGTGAAATAATACAGTAGGAGTGCTTTGCATTGATAATGGTAATTAAGGGGATCGGGATTCAGTCAAAGTGGCATTTACACTATGTAACGGCGGTCTAAAAAATGACTGAAGATAGCCATGAACTGATTTGAGACACATTTAGACTATCTAAAGACTTGTGCTTTTCCACACCATCCCGTGGGTTTCATTAAGCACCAGTGAGGAAAAGCACAGCATTCCAGTGCAGTTTAGCTGGCTTCTGTTTTTGCCCACAGGTAATGCCAGCCAGGTGAGTGACGGTGCGGCTGCTGTGCTGGTGGCCCGGCGGGCAAAGGCAGAGGAGCTGGGTCTGCCGGTGCTGGGAGTGCTGAGGGCCAGCGCTGTAGTAGGAGTGCCCCCCGATGTCATGGGCATCGGGCCGGCCTACGCCATTCCTGCAGCGCTGCAGAAAGCTGGTGAGAACAGAGTCGAGGAGGGTATCAGCAGGATCAAGCGAGGTCTTTAGTGTGTTTACAAAGAAGCCTTCTTATTGTACTTTCTTATACTTTTTAGATTTTTAAGGCAGTTTCACTGCAAGCTTGTGTTTAGCTCATTGTAGTCTTTCTCTAAAGTGCTGCATGTCAGAGACTGGATTGACTTGCTTTAATATATACCGTACATGTTCAGGGAACAGTCTTGCCACCATTTAAACAGTCCTATTGAATGAAAGTAGATGTGTTCATCTTGATCATTTCAAAAAAATCTTTTCCCCACAGGTCTCACTGTGAAAGATGTTGATATATTTGAAATTAATGAGGCCTTTGCAAGTCAGGTGAGCTAATTTAATTTTTTTTTCCTATCTAAATGATTATGTCTCACTTTGTGCCTCTTACAGTGCCAAAATGTGTCAGTTCTTGTGAAAAATGCCTAATTAGGTACAAAATAGATTGTAGTTAAGGCTTAAATATCTGTAGTTAAGGCTACAAGACATCATTAGTCGTGTTGTTCTAGTCTTTAATGCAAGCCTCTATGTGTGCTGTAGGCTGTGTACTGCATAGAGAAGCTGGGCATCCCTATGGAGAAAGTCAACCCTAATGGAGGTGCTATTGCTCTGGGACACCCACTGGGCTGTACTGGAGCCCGCCAAGTGGTCACACTGCTGAATGAGCTCAGACGGAGGGGAAAGAGGTGAGTTCACCAGAACACCTTTTCTGAGTCTTTGAGATTGGTAGTGCTGGCAATTGGTGAAATGTTGATAAGTCAAAACATAATAATAATGTCATAAATCCTCTAGGCCATATTATTTATTTGATTTCCATTATGAGGTGTTCTTCCTACTAGATGATGGGGAATAATTTAAAAATATTTTGTGAAAATACAGTGAGTCCATGTTGGCCTGTTGAAATAAAAGCATTCTGAAAACAGCATTATGAAGCAATGAAGCAATGAACTGTGGTGATAAGTGGAAGACAGCAGAACACATCAGCTATAACACCATAGTGTGACCAGTACCTGTGTCAATGATAATCGTGGGCAAGGACTTAGCTGCATGAAGCTAATCAGAGCCCACTGCTGTTTTCACTGGGAACATTTTACTCTTGTCCCATTTGTATGCGAACCAAATTTCATTTGCTACATGACAGTTTTCGTGTCACAATAGTTTGAAAAATCCTTTCTAAAAATCCTATATGCTCATTAGTTAACTGTAGACGTTAACAGAACAGTCTCTTAAAAAAGTGACTTGTCCATTGTTAAGTATGATTGGTTTGCTTCAGTTACATGAGAAAATGCATCTTGTCTTTCAGAGCATATGGTGTTGTGTCTATGTGTATTGGAACTGGAATGGGAGCAGCAGCTGTGTTTGAATACCCTGGTAGATAGTCTTCAGTGATGTGGTACAAGAATTGGTATAAAGGAGTAGAGTTTAATGATTTTTTGATTCACTTTTGAATACTTTGAATTCTATGATTATGATTACCAAATTTCATTTTTAATTTTTTACATGTATTACTTTATAGCATCTGGAAACACAATTCATGAACTCCAGATCATGAAACGATTCTGCAAGTGTAGTTCATGAAAAATGCTAAACAAATGAAAACATCCAAATGTCAATCACTAAAAGTATAAGAAGACAATATTAGACATGATGAGATGCACAACTGATGAATGTTGTGAAATGAATAAGGAACAGGGCATTTATATACCCTGTAATGGTTATCAAGCTGTTAGTATAACGTATAAGCTATTTCTTATCAGAATAACTAATATCAATTCTTGATTATTTGTGCAAACTTTAGTACAAATGTCATGGTTATAGATCCCCATTTGCTTTTCAAAGGTACATGTATTATGTTCATAATTGCAGAGGTCAATGTTGGTTATTAATTACATGCATGCACAGTTTTTGATATAACCCTGTTACAGACAACGGCATTTAAGTGTAACCTGATATAGGTCATGCAACGTGAGAGTTACTGTACCAGGAAGACTTGCCTCTGATTGACAAGCTGAGAGGATTTTGGAAGCAAGAGACAGATGAATGCTGTAACAACTAAAAAATACAATTTTGTAAATTTGACACATCTTGAAAGAAAATAACATGCAATGAGATATGTTTAAATGAATCATAAAATGTATGAGAATACAAACAAAAATTGTTACACAATGAAATTAGTCTATGACCTACTAAAATGTAGGCATTTACTGAAATGAGTGTCTCACTGAAACATTTACTAGTAGTATCTCTTTCTAAACTGCATGAAACTAATTACAATTGTAATATAATTAAATTAATATCATATTACAATAACTGTCTTGTGTTTAGTTTTAACAAAGAGGTTCCAGACAATGTTCTCACACCAGCACCAAAACAAGGGTAATAATAGTTTAATGGTAAGTACAACCCAAATGGATACAGCCAAAATGCAGTTTCACTTACAACATAGTGATCTATTAAGTTAGAGCATATTTGAAGCACATCTGAAACAGTGTATAAGCTGACAACAGTCTTGAATGTCAAATTCAGAGCATTTAAGGATATATTTGTATTCAGTTCATTTGATCTTCAAGTTGTAATTCTACAAATCAGGGAGCAGGGAATCATATTTTTCATCATAAGACCCTTTGCCTGTAACTTCCAATCTGACAGGCTGTTCCCCCAACATCCCATGGATTGTGACAGTAGCTTTGTATTCTGCGCTGTCACTGTGAAAAGAGAAAGGGAATAACTGGTTGAGTGTTATCACACTTGGCACTGTCAATAGCATGTACTGTATAAAATGCATATGTGAACATCACATTTCATGTTGTCAAGGGCGTGTCATGGAAAGTGAATGTTTACAGAGTATCCTGATGAAGAGAGGTTAGTTACAGTATGTACCTTGCTATGAAGCTGATCTGCAGTGCTCCCCTGCTGGTTGAGCAGGGGTAACCAAAAGGTTTAAGGACCCCGTTGCCTGGAGACACTGTGAAACCACAAGGTTTCTCAGGTGCTTCTGAGAAAAGTCACAAAGAGTATTCATTACTGATTCAAAATCAATATTTGATTACAACCACACAATAATGTATACAGAAGATGTGGTTAAAGCTAGTTAACAATTGTGGGCTCAATAAATGGTATCAACAAGGTGTCAAATGCATATTTAAAGGGTACTAATTTCCATTATGTACATTTTGTATTAATGTTTTAATTTATTTGTAACACGGCTTATAGTGCTAAATGAAGCATTTATTTTGTACCGTGATAGCATATTAAAACAAACAAGTCTGAAACTTACCTATCAGGGCTGTCCAATAGCTACTGGATCCCCCCCTGTTCGACAGAAACACCTCTTTTACACGAGTCTGTCCAACATAGCAGGTCCCAAAATCAAGGCTGTCGCAAGACAGCTGCAGAGTGGGCAACGAAAGGCGAGCACACAGTGGCACAATCTGCAACACAGAACGGTTTATGTGAATACTTCATTCCAGGTAATGCATGTTTTTGGATTTAAAACTGATTAGTGGGCAGTAAACCTTAAGAAAAGGGGGTGAATGCTCCAGTTGGCTTAAAGTAATCTTTATTAAAACCTCACCACTTCCTAATCTGTATATAATAAGTATATAGTAGCTTCTACCAAGATCCCAGCCGTGATGTTGAAGCCAAAACTCTGTTTTCTTTCACTAAGTGGCAGGATGAGTTAGCTACTACCAACAAAATGGGTTAAATAGGCGGAAAGATGATAAACCAGCCTTTCTTTTGTAATTTATTTAGCTGTTAGAAGTCTTACTACTCTACATCTATATGTACTCTTAAAATATTTGTGAAAGTTTAATTTAGGTCTGCATGGACTGAGGCAGACAGATGTATTTCTGTCACTGTGGCCTCAAACATAAAAACATAACCTGAAGGTTAAAAGCTATTTTTTCAAAGAGTGTAGTAACTACCTGCACAGTCTTATTGCTGTACTCGACAACAAGGTCCTGCTGAAATTGCAGTGTTCTCTCCCCTGTCTCACTGTGCACCAGCTGGACTCCTGGTGGCAGCTGACCCTCTGGCTGGCTCTGATAGGGCAGCAGTGACAGCGAATTGTGAAATGCCACCTTCACCTGAAAACCAGTAGACAAACCAACAATCCAAATATAACAGATTATATATCATATTATATACTCATATTGTGTGCTCTTATGAAGACAAGCTATAAAGAGCTGACACTAGTGGAACCAACTAGCTCAGGAATCCTAGAATAAAATTATTTAACTAAGAGTGGCTAAGGATTGGGTGAGCTTGGTTTATAGATGTAGATGGGAATTGCTCATGGCACAGTTTGTACAGCTCTGTTTTGCAGTAGTACACATCCTATGTAATTAATAGCATCCTTAAGGATATAATAGCTGTACGTAAAGCTGCAGGATTCAATCTGAAGCTGACCTGCATGTTGTTCTGGGGTTTGAGGAAGAGGAGCCTGACCTCCCCTCTGTCACTGTGGGAGCTCCTGGTGCTGCTCTTGGCCTCAGTGTGGAGGACACTGAAGGGGGGCTTTGCTAAAAGCCTAAAGTACAGTGGGGTCTCGGTGGAGTTCCTCAGATGCAAATTATGGGTCAGCACTGAATCTTTCACCATCTGAAAGCACAGACCATGTCAGTCCAAATATTTTGTCATCTGAGAAAATATCAAATACATCAAACTACAGCAATAAGTAGATCAGTTATGACATTATAAGAAAGAATAAAAGGTTTGAAACCAAACAGCAGTCTCTGTTCAAGATTACTCAACATAATTTCATTTTGGGGTGTCATCCCCTACTAGAAAATGATTTCTATTTAACTCTGCTTAAAAACATTTGGTTGTGTGCTCACCATTTTGTGTGGTTCCTCTGGTATTAAATCACTAGCACGAGCACAGAATACAATTTCATCCTCGTCTTCCTCCATTTCCACAGTCAAGCTGATAAAAGCACAGAAAATATTCCTGATGATCTACAAGCCTACACACTTTAAAACTGCTAATTATTTGTAATGCTTTGATATTACAGATGTATCAGCTATTTTTAACTCAGTGATGTATTTTGGGCTTAAACCAGCAATCTGAAGGCTATAGAGTAACTGCTGCCTGTGACTGGGTGTATTATTTTGGTAACTTACAGAGCAGGCTTTACAAAGGCCTGTAGGTCCAATCTCAAAGGTTCCTGCTCAAAGCCCTGTGACCGAAACACCTTCCCAGGAATACAGCAGGCAAGCTAGTGACAGACACATGAAGCAAAGAATCAGTGTATATTTTACTTGATTCCCACTAGTGTACTTCCAGTGGAACACTGTGAAATGTTGAAGTTCTACAACAGGCAAACCCAAATCTGGTAGTATTTTTACATGTTAAAAACAAATCCTTTCTAATAAAGGTGGTTGTGAAGTTGAAATTGAAATAGTCACCCAAATTCTAATTTATACTTCATGGAGGATATTGTGATTTTTTTCTAGAAAGAAAAAAATGTTTTTTGTGAGATTATGCAGAATATTAGTTCAAGTGGGAGCTTTACGAACATAGACCTGCATCTGAGAAAAAAGTTAGGGTAAACATTATGGGTGAGTTTATTAGTAATGCCATCCACCAGCTGCTTTATTTTTACACTTATGTCATCCTTCTGTTTTTGTATGAAAAAATCTTGAATTATTTTTTACTATTAATGAATATGTATATCTTAACCTGAAAACTGTTGTCTATGAGTTGTTCTCCATCAAAATTAGGTTAAAAGTTGCTATCTTTAGCATGGGAACAAAGTTATTGAGGCAAACAGATAGGCAGACATATGCTTTACCTCGCTGTCCAGACTCATGTAACCCAGGGCGAATCCCACACACTCAGTTTTATTTACTGTCTCTGACAGAGTCAAGGGTGTGAAGGATACATGAATGGTTGCACTCCCCCCTGCTGGAACAATCTGAAAATGAGAACAACATATACCTGATAAAATAAAATGGCATATACACAGGTATATAGAAATAACTTTGGCAAGAATGTTGCAATGTTTGTGTTTTATAACATCTTTCTCCATAGGACTTTAAATACAACCACATCCAGTAACTATTCAGCCACCGACAGCTAGACTATCTAATAGTTTTCTAATGATGCATTCATAAAAAACAATGTAACACTATGCATTTATTTTTTTTAAAGCAATGTTTTAGTCTAAGTGAAGAGTGTTCAAAATACAGTATACTGATGGAAAAAAGAAACGCAACATTTTCTGGAATGAGAATACTATAGTATATGTACTTTCACAAAAAGCTGTCAATTTGTTTTAAGCCCTCTGACCAGCAATACAGCTCGTGCAGTGAGACATTGCAACTTGCCAATCCCACGAAAGCTTGTTAGGTGCACTTTTACCCAACGAGGCCCAGGTAGAACAATGCCTGATCAGGTCACCTTTAAAAAGGCCTTAATTCAAAGCTTAGGTCACTGCAAGAAAAAGGCCACATTTAGTCAGTTTTCTGTGCATCCCATAATGCCTTGAATGTCACCAGAAGCAAGGGAGAGGGCCATTGGCATGCTGCAGGCATGTCATCTGCCAGCATTGTCAGACACTATGGAGTAAGCCGCTCCACTGTGCCCCAACTGCAGAGAAGGTATCAGCAGACCGGCAGGACAGATGACCATCCAAGATCCGGTTGCCCTCGAGTGACCACACCAGAGCAGAACTGACACATCAGACTGGTCCATCTGAGAGATTGTTTCAGATCTGCCACCTGTTCTGCTGCTGAAACTGCCAGCAGACACAATGCCTGCATCAGTGACAGGACAGTGAGGCTCCATGCTGCTGGCCTTAAAGCAAGGCGACCTGTCAGAGGCCCTCTACTCACACCTCCTAGACATCACACCCGACTGGCTTGGACTTAACAGAGGCTGCGATGGACTCCTCAGCAGTGGCATCAGGTCCTCTTCACGGATGAGTCACTCTTCAGCCTGTTCCACGCAGACGGGAGGGCCAGAGTGTGGAGGAGGAGGTGTTGCCTTTCTTTTTTCCATCAGTACAGTATATATGTTACTGATTAAACATTAAAAACCAAGTAGTACAAAATGTTACTGAGGCTTATGCTGATTTCCAGATCACTACATGATAGCAATAAGTGGTATACAATAGTAAAACCTCTGTTGTTAACAAGCTTGGTTACTTGTTTTCCAAGAATAGTCTTCATGTTCAAAGGGAGATGTCAAAATGTCACTACTGCTGTAATGCAGTTATTTTTTGCTTTGTGACAAAACTTCCTATGCTTTCAAAAATAATTCTTGCAGTTAGAAATATTACAATGAGAATATGAAACCGGAGATTTCCAGAAATCCTTAAAATATTTAACCAATGATTTAACATATTCAGATATTTATGAATTTATGGTGACTTGATCTACACCCTTTCTGGATCTTAGTGCTTATAAGGAGCACAATTACAGTGCATTTTAAAGGATATAAGATGTGTTTATATTAATGTCATGGGCATAATCAAACTGATGCATTCAGCTGACAGACTTACTATCTGTTGAGGAGTAATACAGTAAGGATAGTCAGAGACAGTGCCTTCATGTTGCCTGAGGTTCACGAAGACAACCTTACGCATGGCAGCAGTCTGTTCGTCAGTGTCACTCTCCTCTTCAGTATCCTCTTCCTCATAGAGAGAATTGCCAAAAAGAGTTTTACTTTGCATTTTAACTTGAAGTCACTATTTTATAGACCAGGAGCTTGATCTGATAAAGAAAAGCAGACAACAGCTCATTCTTATTCCCTGCACATCTTGATAACTGAGTTCAAGTAGGTAGCTGCGGAAGGTACTGTAGCTGCACACCTGAAGAAGGCTCCACAGCCGAAACGTTGTGTCTCTTTTCTTTTCAGCATGGAATAAACCTTTACCTGTTCCTTGATAATTGAGTGCCAAGCCTTTTTCACTATGATTAATTTATTTAAACAACATGTCTATGCAAAATGACCAGTGTTTGTAAAGAAGTGTTGCAAAATACAGCATTCAGAGTGCAGTGATCTCAATAGATAAACAGGGTGAGTTAGCTTCTTTCAGGCCCTGAAAAGAGTAAGCATTATAATAAAAGTCAAATAAGAGTAGAAATGTTTCCTGCAAACTAAGATGGGTAAGTAAAGTATTGTGAACCTGGTGGAGTTAATAGCTCAGAGCTTATGAAAATCTGGAGAGGCATCTGCAAAGAAGACTATGGATTTTGCTCCACATTTTCAATGGGTTTTCTGTGATTGGACCTATTTGAAGGGAGACAGCCCAGTCTTTGGTTAGGAGATGAAAATAAAGGATTTTATAGTCTAATTGGTATAGTAAAGCTCCCTCAGGAGGGTGCTCTTCAATCCAAACATTTCTTAAGTGCAAAATCCCATTGTAACAAAATAAGATGCAGCTAGGATGTTAAAGGTTTTGAAGTACTGTGAAAGAGATAGCCTTTATCTTGCCCTTTATATAAATCATTAATGATAGGATTAATATGTTCTGATGTATTTTGGTAACACTGAAAAGGGGCCTTTGAAAAACATTGAACTTTAAAATTAATGACAAAATGTGTTGAATTACACATTAACTTATTTTTTTAATTCTCCACAGAATTCTCTGTCCCACACTTTTTATCAATACATTTTTTAGTATAGAATACTGCAATTAGTTATCTTATCAACCATACAAACAGTCAAATGGAACCAGTTGTAACTTACATAGCACGTCTCGCCAGTGGAAGTGGTTTCTCCAGTGCTGGAGATCCTGTCCCAGTCCCTTCTGCGCTCTCTGCTCCCACTGGGCCCCACATACCCCCCAAGGACCTCATTCCCATCAACATCCTTCAGAGGGAAGGCCTCCCCACAGGAGACCACCAAATCCACCAGTTTCACGTCTCCCTTCTCCTTGTTGAACGTCTCCCAGTCTACACGGATATCTGCCAAACACAAACATTTAATACTTATTCAAGCAACATGGCATGAAGCAACACTGACCAAATAATTAACACAACTGGATAAGGAGTGAACAAATGACCTTGAGCACTCAGTAGCCTAGCTGTAGAAACTGAGAAAGAATATAACCTTACAAAAATTAAAAACAATTTAAAAAAAGCTTTTTCATCATTTCTAAGTGGCTTTATGGCACCAAGTCCAGTTATAAGTGTTCCTTTTTCTCAACTGTTACTTGTCAATGGTAATAGGTTACTATAATGGAGAAATTGTAAGAAATATGTTCCTGGAATATGCACTTTTTACTTGCATGTTTGTTTTCAGGTTCATAAGATGAATGCTTATAATTTAAAGCAATATGCATGCTAATAATGCTTTCTTGTGAATGCACAGAAATACAAAAATAGTTCCAAAATATTCAATTTAATTATCTTTCCAATATTTTAAGTACATTTGGTAATCATCACTGGAGCTGTAATTATTATTGTAAGGTCTTACAATGGAGAAAAAAAAATGGAGAACAAGGTCAAACTATAAAGAAAACAATTTCTTCAAAAGGTGTCTTGGACTCTTACTTTAGATAAAAGGGAGCAATTCAATAACAAACTGGCACTTACCATATTGACTTATATTATTGATTCGTAATGATCTTGAAACTGTGTCACCTCCAGAGATTTGAGTACCAAACCTGAAAAATTATATGAGCACACTTACATTTTTATATCACAGTAATAATTATTTTTCACATTTTATATATATATATTAAATGGGGCAGCACAGCGGTCAGCACTGCTGCCTCTCAGAGCTGGGGCCCTGTGTTAAATTCCTGAGGTGCTATGTGCATGGACTTTTTATGTTCTCCCTTTGTTTGCATTTCTCTGGGTGCCCCAGCTTCTTTCTACAGTCCAGAGACTTGCTGGTAGGTTAACTGGCTTCTAGGAATATTGGTCCTGGTGTGAGTGTGTGCATGTCTGTGTGTCTGTGTGCACCCTGCGATGGACTGGCATCCTGTCTATCCCGCCTTGTGCCAGTTGCTTGTTTGGTTAGGTTCTGTCTCCTTCTGCAACCCTGTACTGGATAATGCAGTTTAGAAAATGGATGGAAGTGCTACTTCCAAGTGTTACTTTTACACATTACAATTCAATGATTATTTCTCTTTATGTCTGTTTATAATGGTTTCCATTCCAGAACAGTACACTATACTACACGTTTCACTTTTGCTAAACAACATGAAAAATCTGCGAACTGCAGAAGTGTGCTCAAAGAGTGATAATGTCAGGTCTGGACAATGAGGAATTTTAGACATACAGTACTGCACCTTATTATTGGGCCCTGGGTCTGTTTATCTTTCTGTGGTCCCATCATCTGGAAGTAGAGAGGACACCCTCTGACGGACATCTTCACAGGGATGAACACAGGATCCAAATCCCCAGCCTAAGGCAGACAACAACACATTTAAAACAACAACAACCCATGTACATTATGTAAAGAAAACAAAAGACAGCAACTTAGAATATTAAAAAAGGAAAAAAAATAAGTTGGCAATCTCTAGCTTTAAATTTTAACATATTATTATTGGTGTTCTTTTCTTATTAAAATAATTTCTGTAAGATTTGTTTTCAGATTTCTTTGAGGAGTCACACATATTTGAGAAGGTTCAGTCTATGCTGTTACAGAATACAGTTAGTACAGAAGAACAGACATTTTAAAACAATTATAAAAAGTCTTCCTTTGTGTACTCTTAAGAAAGACTGGTTAATTAAAACCAAAACAAGATAATCGAAACTAAATGATTTGATATCCTTTACTTCCCCGTTACAAGCTGATTTAGAATGTAGACCTTTTTGAAGTGAAGACGGATCGTACCCTGCAGATTAAGTTGTCCTCATATTGTCCCCACATGTTTGTGAACGCAGAAATCTCTATGGTTTGAGTCTCATAAGGCCCCAGTGTTCCTGAGGATGGCTGGACAAAAAACCCTGCTCCTTTTCCATGGGAGAGCAATGCATTCACAAACTCTGCCATCAAAACATAGTGGATACATATAAAAAAATCACCTGAATCCAGAAGAGTACTGTGCTACCAATGTACGAATCAAGATACTACGTTTATTCTGGGTATACAACTGCATAGATTAATTGCAAAGTATTTATTATATCTTTCAAAATGAGAACAATTTTTTAACAATTGTACAATGACCGGTTATACAGTATGTATAATGAGCAGTTATATGAACTGCTATTTCTATATAATTATGGTAAAATCTAAGGCACTGGTACTATAATGTCAATACATTTGTTGACGAGACCAATAATCATTAAGTGCAAAAGAAAATTCTTCCCATTCGCTACTATTTAAAATCAGAATTGTAAATGAACTACTTAATTGTTAGCAAACAATATTTGCGGATATTCTTATACACAATTAAGTTGAGACAGACATTCTGAACATCAATAAAAATTATCTTAGTTTTGGGAAGAAGACCCTGCATCTCTGCAGGCAAATACAACTGCACTATACCCTTATGTGCTCTGTCTTCAGCTTTGTCTGCTATGGATTTGTGCAGTGGTCTCCTAAATCCAGAGAGTCTGAAAAACAGGTTGAAAACAGAAATGTATATTAGATTTTACTCTTTAAGTGTTTAAGTTTAGTTTTTGCATTTACTTGAAGTTTGGTGTTGTATGCATTCATATCATAGTAAAAGATTACATTTAGATTTGCTAATGAAATGCCAAGAAATGTCTGACCAGTCCCAATATTTTGCCTCACAACAGTCTTGTCAAACCCTCATATTTATTAGTCACATTTATATGGTCTAGTATTGTTTAAAGCTCTCAAACATGCTACTCTACAGTTTATAAATCTGAAAAATAAAAAATATGTTGAGTGATAATTTAGTTGAATATATGTTATGACTGCTGTCCTGCAGCACCCCTCAGCCCGCAGTTTCCCTGGGAAAACTTTGTATTCTTACAACGGCTCATGGTTTTCATTTCACCCTGTTTTTCATTCCAGTTGTAGTACTGCTTCCACTCTCCGATTTTTCCGATCTTGTCGACTGTAGCTCCAGTGGGCTGAGGCTCCAGCAGTTTCCCCAAGTGGTTAGGTGGCCCTGGGATACCAGACCCATGAGTCCTTGTGTTTCTGGGAGCTGGGCAGCAGGAATCCAGTTCCCATGGCCAAGAGAGAAACACCCCAAGAGCCGAAGTTTTCCAATCCCGGTCGATGGGCTGAGCATCCTGGGTTCTGGTCCTCTGGGCTCTTTATAAACTACCCTCGCCCTTCTCCGCTGGATCAGCCTGCACTTAATCAGCCTGTTTGCTCCGTTACTCCTCCTGTGCTGCAGCTCCAGCGTCGAGTCTTCACTTCACCCTGTACCGCACCTTCAGTTCCGGTTTCCAGTCTGCACTCCGCTCCACACTCCTGTCTGCACGGTAGCTCCTTGTCTTCGCCCTGGAACCCTGGATTCTTTTCCGTTTGCCTCCACTTTATCTGCAGTTCCGGCCCACTTCAGGCAGCGGAATTTGTCATCCAGGACCCCAGGGCTATTTCCGCGCCGTCATCCTTCCCTCAGCCCAGCCACCCCATCCCTGTTCTGTAGACTCCTGCCCTGCACTTTAGTCTTTTTCCGACTGCTCTCATTCCTGCTGCCTTTCTGGCTTCTTTCCGAGGCAGTCTTCTTCTCCTCACCTTTAGCATTTCTTTTTCTTTTTCTCTTACTTTCTGTTTTCCAAGCTGTCTGGGTCACCCTTTTTTCCTTTTTCACTGTTTTGTTCTTTTTCTAGCCACCTTCCAGTGCCCCAGTAGAGCCTTCTGCATTGTTTCCTAGGGAGCCAGGCATTCTGTTCCCCTTCCATTAGCCTGAGCTCCCTGAGAAGTCCTTGTTCTGGGGCTCTGACTGGGACCATCCCTTGCAGCTGTATAGACCCGGAGTTCCGGGAGTTGAGGGGGGCCTAAGGATGGGTTTTTTTGTCACCCATTACATGTCTCCCCCAGGTGATCCAAAGGGTGCCTGGGTATTTGATTTTCATTGAAGTGAGGATCCTAGGAGACTGAGCTCACACAGCATGCCTGGCCTGGTGTTGGAGGAAACACCTCACATTAGGACACATGTCTTGAATCACCGTCTCCTAGGACCTCCAAGTGGCAACCAAGTGGGGGCTCCTTTCTCAGTGCCATTCAGTGAGACCCCTCTTCTTAGAGAAGACTTTGGGGAGAAGCACAGCTGTGATCTGTTAGAATACAGTTTCTAATATTATTTATAAAAGACAACTCAGCTTCAATAGGTCTTATCATTTTAGGATTTTGTTATATTCTAAGTATGTGACGTGTTAGATTTAATTAAACGTTAATGCACTTCCCAAAGAGTTAGTGCATCTGGTTATAGTATGCTTATTTGTGAATTTAAAAAAATGTTAGGCAAGAGGTGTGGTCATTCTATGGCCAACTGTATCCATGAAGACTGACAATGTGTGTTGCGCAAAAATAATTATGCTTTTGAAAATGTCAAATGAGAAATTATATTTGTGTCACTTTTTGCTTTTAGTAAGTCATTTAATATTAGAAATCAGAGACAACAGTACAGTTGTCCACCAATCTCAGTTTGCTCCATTAAAATTTGTAATGCGATGGAAATGGCTTACTTTTGTGCAGACTGAGAGTTGACTGCTGGAGGTGACGGTGGCCGTCCACTGAAGTACTCTGCCTCCAAGGAGAAAGGGGCAGAGATCGCTGTGTGGTTTATGATTAGTAGCTGCCTTTTGACAGCACTCTTCAAGAGGACATCTCCAAAGTCTAACACCAGTGCTGAAGGATCCTGAGAGTCCGGCTTAGGGCTGTAAGGCATTTAAAGCCATTTAAACACACACTATTTTATAAATCACTTACCTTATAAAATTAATTTTTAAAATAATTTAAATAAATAAAGACATTCAAGGTGTCAAAGTGGTCTTTGATGTGTTGGCACAGAACTTGGAATAACTGTCTTTATCTAAATTCAACTTCATCACAACTGACCACAGATAATGTATTGTGGTTCATAAAAAACACAGATTATTCCACTATTCCACTACTTCTCCAATGTTTAAATACAGCAAACACATCTACTGTAACAATAAATTGCTTAAATGTACCTTGAAAATTTTACATATAGAAACAACCACAATATTACTGATGCAGTAAAAAGTCTTTAAAATCACCAAAACTAAAACAATGTTTTGAAGTAGTGAAATATTTTGTGAGGAATACAAAAGTACAAAAGGGATTTGTACGCCAAATGATGCTGTAAATGATTCTTCGCAGCCTGATGCAATACAAATTTAGATCTACTAAAAGTAAAGAAAATAACGTACCTGTCAGATGGTAAAGAAAATGTGACATGGAGTGGTTTTGCCTTTGCAAAAAAGCCTAGAACAAGAGGCTCTTTCATATCCCTCACCAAGCACAGTGCAGCAACGTCTGTTAGTTCTTTCTGTAACATAAATGTCACATAGCAGTTTTACAAACGGAAGTCTTAATTAGAATAAAATCATTATTTCACTGTATGAAACTGTATACGCCATCATATACATACATCAGTGTAAGCAGTTAATTCTACTGCAATCTCTTCTTCTGCATTAGGTCCTAGTGTGCCACTGGATGGAGAGAAGCTGACTGAGCAGAGAGATGACTGCTTGCCTTTCAGCTGTGAATGACCAAATGTTAAATTCAACACTTCAGAATCTTTTAACATTTCAAACAGTAAAGCAGAACATATACTGTATAACGTTGCTCAAACAAAACTGAAAAATCTTTTTATATTTTTAAGCGGGCACTATTTGTAATTAAGAAGACTTCAAATGAACTCAGTACCACGCTTTCCAGTTCACTGAAAGCTTGAGAAAATGATAAATGAAACAAACTCACAAGTAAATGTGGTATATGCTGCACTCAAAAGAATAATAAAAATACTATCAGTATGCTTATTGTCTAGCATATGAGCATGGAGAGGTCTTCTAACACACTTAACACATGATGGAATTCTTTTGAGAACCATTACTGTTGAAAGAAAATGCTCAATTCCACTATTATTCTTAAGTATAAAGAGAAGTATTTTGAGTTATATTTTCAGTTATCAGTTCAGCTTTATTCGGAAGCTTATGTACAATTTTAGTAAAATATACATTAAAATATATTCATTTATATATTCAGGTAACCACTGGCTATCCCTGATCCAAATAGCAGGTCTGTCCTACTAGCAACAAGCCTAGAAAACTTACAATTCTGGTTAAAAAGATACATTTTTCATGGACACGGTACAGACATGAAGTAATGCGTCCTGACCTCTCCCCAGGAGAAGTGAGCTGGTAGCAGTGTTTGGTTGAAAAGCCGCACAGAACTCAGTGCTGGGACCCCGACATACAACTCCGAAAACACCAGCTCACAGCTCAGCAGACACACTTGGGGGGACTGCACATTCGCTTGCACAGACAAATGACTGCAGACACAAACAAATATGAGCATGCTGATACACTGGTCATAACCCAAAATAAAGTGTAGGTAAAAGTAAAGAATGTGATGTGATGATAATATGTTGAGCATAAATCTTTCTAAACAACATTTACACCTGCAGTATTTTGAAAGGACATTTTAATATATTTAATGTATATTCTCAGTAAAACCACTGTGGAGATTTGAAAAATGTATAATTGGAGTAAAAGTATTTTTAGTATTGTAGTATTTAGTATGAAACAAAATAATTCCTTTACAACACAATAAAATGCACTTTACATTATTCTAATTCAAGAATTAGACTTTTTATTTTCTCCTTTCTGACAACCATTAATAAAGGGTTTTGTGGCTTCAGTTGTAGCGGTGCCTTTCACTATAGTGAGTGACTGTTGGAAAAAGAGCACAAGACATTAAGCATTTAATTATGTGAAAAAATGTCTCTCACCATCCAGACCCATTTTCCACTACCAGCTCTAGAACAGTCTGAAAGTGCTGACACACTGAGGGCTTGAACATCACATCCACACTGCATGTGGCCAGAGCTGGGAGCAAACCACTGCACGGCTCAATAACAATCTGGGAAACCTACAGCACATTCATGGAGAAAACAGGAAGCACTGAAAATAAGGAGTTGAGGGATTTTTGAAGCCACTGATACATTTATTACTAGTTTCGTTTCCTTAGTTATTTTTAGTTCCAGAATTTAAGATATCCTGGCATTTAGAAATGCTAAATCTGATTAAGAAATATTGCAAGCTGCCGATTCCCCCCCCCCTCTGCTACTGGGAACAATATCTACACTGTAGGTAGAAGGAGCACAGATCTCCAGTCAACTGAATTAAATCTCAAGCTAATTATAGTGTAGGAAATCAAAGGCATTAGGGTTAGAATAGGGTTAACATTAAGCCTTGAGTTAGGACTGGGGTTAAGCCTAGCTTCAGCATTATATCTAGGGTTACATTTACAGCTTTGGTTATGATTAGTCTCATAATCTACATCCAAGATAAAAAAATCAAAAACCTATTGAAGGCTTACATTTCAGAGAGAGTATCAGGCTAGTGATAAAAGCCTAATTAAACTTGGTGAACTTCTAATATTTTCACTTCATCACTAAGAAGAGTCAAATCTCAGAAATATAAAACTACAGACCTATTGAATCCAGAACAAAAAACAAAGCAGCTCTAAAGCTTTTTGTTCTAGTGACCGAAAGCAACTATAGAGCACACCTTGGAAAGCACTGCTGGTCTATGACTATGAAACTGACACACAGTATTGTGCTTTACCTCTTTGTCCAGATCTTCATCACTATCAGGAATCTCTTGCAGGATCCAGCTAGCAGCCAGTTGGCTAATGTTGGTCATCTGGATGGTGCTTTTGGTGTGTTCTCCTAGCCTAATCAACCCCAGGTTTAGAGCAGGAATGTTTATACAGACTTTAGGGCCCTGACATAATGAAAAAGATTGGGTATTAGAAACTATATGTATTACAGGGCACAAGATTAAAAGGAAAAAGTGTCCATTCTTCACTCTTATCTGTGGTTTAATCATACTTTTGCATCACTGAAAAATGAATTACAATCTCTTTGAAACACAAAATGCGGTAATAAGAAGTCTAACAATATCTTAACATATTCTCTGATTTTTTAAGGAAAGCTATGTACAGTAACGATATTGTATACATATTGTCTAAGAAATCAGGAAGATATTATTTGAAAATGATTTTTGTGTTTCTTACATCGATATGTTTTTAATAAGTATGAACCGTAATTCCTCTGTTTACTTGAAGCAATTACACTATTTTTGCACCTATGACAGGGGTACCTTGGGAATAGTAGAGGACTGTGAATAAGGTCTTTTCTTTTTGACTTAATGAACCTATTAATAGGCATCACATTTACTGTTTTTAATAGTAATTTTCGATTTCACTGACATTCTTCCTTCCTGTTTCCTGTGTAGCATTGTTAAATTGTTTGTTAATCCCTGATTTAGAGAGATATGTCCTCTGTGGTGCCAGTTAAGGAATACCCATTCCCAAACTGCAGGTGAGAGGATGTAATGGGATGAAGCGAGTATGCATTTTGATAAACAGGGATGTTGAAGTACAGTAAAAGGCTTTATAAGAATGGAAAGTGTAAAGTTTACAAGCTGTGCTGGTCACTGGTTGTTTGTCTTGTAGGTTTTGTGTTCCATATGTAAACACTACAGATTTTAGTAACTGCTTATTTTTAATTATTTAAGTTAATGTATTCATTGATTTATTCATTTGAATTCTATCTCAAAATGTTATTTATCCAAATTAATAATATTACCTACTTTTAAGATAATGATAACAAGGAGGAAAAAATAGTTATATTTAAAATTTTACATTAAGGCAGCCATCCAGTTTGGGTGCTGGGTTATTTTTTCTGGGGAAGCAATTAAAAAGGCAGACAAAACTGCTTACAATTTAAATCCAGGGAGTAAAAAATTGTATAACCCTCCAGGATGGCCTAATTTAGAATACTATGCTAAATTTTGGTCACCACGCTATTGAAAACATGTTGCTGCTTTAAAATTATTCAGACAATTCCTACAAATTCAATATCCTATAATGACTGGCTGAAGGAAAACAAACTTTTTAGTCTTTAAAAGATTACAGGGATACCTGATACAAGTATTAAAAATGTTCAAGGGCACTAATAAAGTCTGCCCAGAAGATTTTTTCAGACTGAACAGTGAAACATGAAACAAAGGATACAAATGGAAATTATGTGGATTAAACATCTGTGTTTGTAGTGGGAGTATATAACAAGTAACCCTGCCATGTTGTAGAAGCCAGTACCTTAGGTTCTTTCAAGAAATGGAAGATAAGATCTTTGGATCACTTAATTATGAACTACCAAATGGGCTAGATGGGCCAAACAGGTTCCTCTCATTTGTATCTTTCTTATGTTCTCATGTTTTCCTAAAGAGCAGCTTAGTGGCTGTAGCAATGGCAAGATCCGAGAAGCTACGTACAGATTCCAAGGAGCAATTTGGCAATTGCTGCTTGATCTGTGAGACCAGCACTCTCACCTTAAATACAGCTTCCACAACAAGGGTGATGGGTTCACAGTGGTGCTCAATGTGACAGTCCAGATTGAGCACTGTGCTTCCAGGCTTCCCTCCTGTTAAGGCCAGTTCCAGGTCACAGCATTCATTCACCTCTGCAACAGCAAGAGAACCTGAGACATCACCGCAGAGCACTGCCTCTGTCGCTCTATCACTCTGTAGTTTTAGGCCTTTTCTATTGTGTCTTAAAACAGTGGGAATGCTCATTAATGAAACTGACAATTTAAAAAAATATATATAATAGTAATATCATAACCTACACTGTTCATTATGTCTACAGGTGGACAGTAATTTTATTAACAAAACACTTCTCAACACTTCTCTATTCACTATTGCATTACACTTACCACTAAGCAAGGCAATTTTTTATTGGAGAGACAATTAAACAAGATGACACAGAACAGCACATTTGGATATTTGTCCAATCACCTTTGGGACTAATTGCTAATTGCCCTTCTTTTATGTAATTTTTAAACATTAATTTATGTTCATCGTCTTGATCATTTATAATATGTTCAAATTTAAAAATAAACTATTACTATTTACAGCTTAATGAACTAAATATGACTAAAATCCAGGTGGATGCTGCACATTGGTGGTGGAGGGGAGTCCCCATTACCTGTAAAGCACTTTGAGTGGAATGTCCAGAAAAGCGCTATATAAGTGATAGCATTTATTATAATTATTATTATTAAAACTATGAGTGAGGAGTGATGAATTTATACCTATAATACCACTAGGGGGCTCCACTTCCATGATGTGACAGTCGCTGATCCTGTCCCAGTGGAATAAGATGTGCGATTTGCTGTTATTCCACATCTTGAAGACACAAAGAGCACAAAGAGGAGAGAACTAGGAATCTCCTGGCAAAAAAAGAAACTGAATTTCATACTAGAAAAAAATACTGACATAATGCAGAAAGTTTTATACATTCAATCAAAAAGTCCAACCTCAGTGTCATTTATGCACTTTTGAATATAGCCATTTAAAAAATGTTTTGAATCCATCCTAATGAGGATATAATTGCCTTACTATTGCCCTTTGCCTGTGCACCACTGAAGTGACTGTCACACTTATTGGCAGTGAATCTGAAGGAAAGGTATGGAAATGAAGACTAATGAACATTGTAAACGAAGTTAAAGATAAAGTGATAAAAATGCATAGATTAGAAAAAAGGCATCGAACAGTTTGGATATACCAGTCAGCACTGCTGGCTCATTAATTGCTAAGTGTAAGTTACAGACAGTGCTATAAGGTCGTTCCTCAAAACTCAAAACATCTGAAAAGCAAGAAAGCTTTTGGAAGCCACTGAGAGGCCAAAATCAAGTGTTCAGAGGCTGAGAGTGGAGTGAACGTGGATGAGTCAACTATCAAAAGCTCTGCAACACTGGCCTATATCAGGTGAATGTTCTTGACTGGCCCAAACAAAGTCCCGACCTCAACCCCATGGAGAATCTGTGACATGATTTGAAAACTGAAGTCCACAAGCGTTGACCAAGAAACCTGAATGTGAGTTAGAGCAAATCTGCAAATCTGAACATCACTCTAAACCAGTATGCAAATCTGGTAGACACCTACCCCAAAAGACCTAAAGCTATTATTGCAGCAAATGGAGGTCTACCAAACATTAATGTGTGGGGTTTGAATACTTATGCAAGCAGCATATTTCAGTTTTTGACTTTATTTAAGATATCTTAATAGGTAATTTTGTCGTTAAAAATGTTCCGTTTGAGCACGCGAGTTTGAAAATTTAAATACTGATTAGAAAAACGTAAGTATGTAATATGTAATATGAAATATGTAAGTATCATTTGTAATCGAACAACATTTGAAAACTTTTAAAGGGTATTCATGCTTTTGCAAGGCACTGTATTAAAAAAGTAGTTACCAAAAGTTGTTCATTTTCTTAATTTTGTTTGCATTGGTGGTGGTTTGTTGCTTGACTGTTGTTTGTAGTATATTTAAAATTGAAATATTTCACTCTAAATCTTGTCCCTTATCTTATCTGGGTTGTAATAGATTCAGGTATATTCAAAAACTGGAAATAGCAGGGTATATGTTATTTACAATACTCTATGTTTGAAATAAAATATGCAAAATAACTACTCCATAATGCATGATTAAAAATGTGTGGGAACTGTGAAAAAGTAATATTTCATATCCTCATTATGTTCCTAAAACACGAAAAAATTGTACACAATTGCATTCTATCAAAGACATCACATGAATTTTATGCTGAGCAACATTAAAAGTTGTGTTCTTCTTTAAGAAATGTGAAGGAGTAATCTTCTATGTTAATATAGGATTAGAATGATTTAATGTTTGTGCTTTACCTTAAAACGCCTTTTGATAGTTGTCCCGATGAAGTTTTCTCCAGGAATGTGAATGGCATAGGGTTCTAGTAAAACCTTGTAGGGCTCTGTTGATCCTTTCACCTCAATCTCCATCACAATGACATCATTCACTGTGGCTCTTCTCTCGAGTGGCTGATCTGTACTACAGATTCTTCAAGAATTGCAGCAACATCCATATAAATAAGACTATACTGTTATAATGCTATTATAATACACAGAATTTTTTAGTATGAAGTCAGCCAGAAACCAAACCTGTTCTTAAAATAAGGTGTCCCTTGAGAAATCCCGCTGTTACACAGTATACAAAAGTACAAATAAAACATTCTTATCATATTGCAGTAGAAGTATAGAAGTAAACTGCAGACAAAATAAATTTGGATAACTGCAAAACAGGTTTAGGTTAGTTGCATCTTCTAAGTAAGCTGCTAATTGCTAATGATGTGTATGAATATTGTAATAAGTGGTGGTGAAAACAAACTGGCTGAACAGTTGTTAATGATGTGGGATGGGGGCGTTTTCAAAGTTCTTTTGAATTTCTCTGCCCTGTTTTTGTCAACTTATCTAACTCATATTTAATTGATCTTTCCAGAAATTAATATTAAAATTAGCTTCAAACTTTTTTGTTTTAAGTGACCCAATGAACAGACGTCCATTTGTGCATTCTGTGCTTTGATGTGAAAGAGTCTTGTCAGATGAGTTAAAGATTTAACTGTGTATCTGACAATGATAGCATGCCTAAACAGCAGTTCACATGGCAGTCTTTGTTAAACTCTTTCTCTACGAGTCTATGAAAACTTTAAAGCACTTAAAGCATTCGAGTAATCAATGGCTTTCTTCATTGTTTAATGTTTTGGGAATATGCACTACATTGTTGAAACCCCCCCTTATTCTGTATGTATGTAGAACACAGCAGTGTTTCTGGTTTACCTACAAAGTTTACCACAAATGGAAATTTACCTTAGCTAACGTGACACTGGTAAATTTCCACTGACTACATTTAACATTCTTCTTGTGCTAAAAGATTCTGAATACATCTATCCACCCGTTTTCTAACTGCCTCATCCCATGCAAGGTCACGGGGGAGCCGGAGCCTATCCTGGCAAGCAACAGGGTTCAAGGCAGGATATATCCTGGATGATTATGACTGTATTACCTGTTTCCCTTGCTGTCTTCTGGTGCCTCTGGTATCCTGATATCCCTCAGGACTAAGTGGCACACACTATGGTAATCCTTCAGCTGAAAAAAATATTAAGAGATAGAGACTAATACTTTAAAAATAAACATACTGAAATAAGAAATTTCTGTGCTTTTTTAGTTTATATTCTCCTTGAGGTTTTGGAGAGTTTGGTACACTTTTATGTCCAAATTAAGAAAGTATGCAAAGTATGTTAAATTCAAAGTATGCATGTCTAACTCTACAGATAAATAATTTAAGATGATAAATTTTAAATTAGCCATCCACTCTGTATCATGAGACTCCACTCCCCCAGCCAAAACCTCATTATCTTTTTTTCTTTTCATTTTATATTTTAATGTGGAAATTTCATTAGGACCTCTTTCAAAGTTTGAAACCAGCATGTTTCCCATTCCCGATAATTGTTTGAGAAGAAACATAAAGGTTTCCAAAAGTTGCCTCCTGCAGTGGTCATCAGAGCAGCATCCAGTTAGAAGGAAACAAGATTTTAAAGATTTCTAAACTGTTACAGTCTAAAACATCTGGCTGTATAACACTGTATTCCAACTCCTGAATGATTTGAATGTGTGTAAAAGTAAAATTAAAAAGGAGTTGCCCAGATATTCAATAAAAAATTAACCCATTACAATAACAAGTATGGGATGTTAATAGTTGTTACTTCTGTATTATATGTTTGGAAATTCTAAACAGAGTTAATACCCAAGGTGATGTAATTGAATCTATTATATTGTCCTTGCACTCACAAAGTTGTAAATAAAAAGATTTTTGTGGTAAAAAAAGAAAGCATACTTCATGTGGGCTGTAGCTGAGAGTAAACTCATGATCTTGATGGGGTGCAAATATTCCTTGTGTGGGGTTAATCTGAAAAGCACCATCAGTTGCCAATTGCGATTCAATCTTCATTGACTCAATCTTCTCTCCCGGCAAGAGAAATTGTAGATTGGGTTTCATGATCTGCCAGTGAAAAGGCAACTCTAAGTGTCTGAAAAGATAGGAAAAATTAACCGTTGTTTGCAAAAAATAAAATGCACAAGAATTGTAGAATTAAGATATGTACATTACATCAAGATTAAATAATATGTACACTTTGAAGTAACAATTAATATTTGTTATATTAGAACATAAGAAAAGAGAGATGGCCATTAAGCCCATCTAACCCATTTGATAGTTATTAATTAATCCTTAGATCTCATTCAGCTGTTTCTAGAAAAAAACCAGGGTATCATCTTCAACAACATGGCTGTGTAGCTTGTTCCGTAGCACCCAAAGTCCCCTGGGGAAGAAATGCCTCCTGTTCTCAATTTAAATACACTTCCACATATTTTCCATATTTTGCAACACCATCCCTACTGTTAATCATGGTGGTGGCTGCATTGTATCAAAATCGATCTATACTGATCTTGAATTGTCAAAAAAAAGTCCTACAGACCCAAGTCTGGGATGGAAAAAATCACCTTTCAGCAGGACAATGACCCAGAGCTATGCTAGAGTTACTAAAGCATAAGAAAGTGAAAGTCTTAAAACCTGTTAAATCTGTGGAAAGACTTGAAAATTGGTGTCCATAATCTATCCCCAAGCAACTTGGGAGATCCTGAACAAATCTGCCTCAGAAGAATGGAGAAAAGAATGGAAAAACTTACAGCAAGTCAGTGTCCGAGGTTGGTAGACAGTTACCCAAAAGGCTGGCTGTAATAGTTGCCAATATGTGCTTCCAAAACATTTGAGCTCATAGGCTTCAATACTTACACATTTAACATATTTAAACCTTTTCTGTTTAGTTTTTAGTATCTTACCCTTATAAGTCTTCAGTTTGAGCATTCAGGTTTTCTGAATGAAATATTATGTTTAAAAAATGTGTATTCATCATTTCGTAATTTTACAAAATGAGACACCACAGGAAGCATCTGAATACTTTTGGAAGGCATAGTATGTTTTGGTAGACGTGAAAAATGTGACTGATTTCTGTAGCACCAAGCACAGTAATTGTACAGGATTGCAAAGATAATTCTGTTAAAATATTTTTTCCACTCAGCTGTACCATTTGTTTTTTATAGAAAATCAAAGTTTGTTAGTGGCATCTATTCATTTACAAACTCATGATTCTTGCATCAGAAAGCTATAAACAAACTCACGCAGAATTTCTTATGACCAACTTCTTCTGGCACAGGGAATGGGGATTTGCAGTGGCAAAACGAATGAAGTGTTCAGCTGTCAAATCACAGAGCTCCCCCAGGGCAGGCCTGTCTTCTCCTTCACTGACGGATACAAGCTGCAGAGCAATCAGTTGCCCTGTTCCTGAGAACAAACCAGACACGCAAAGAATCTAAAGCTGCAGTAGAATTAAATACTTTTAAAATTCCCGGCAATTCAGAAAACCAATAATGTTATTCTTTTAATATATTAAGAGTTCATTTTCTAAACAGAATGTGAAAATATGTCTCTACCAAACATCAAAAGAGACCATTCTGTGCATGTTTGGTTTTAGAAAAACAAAGTACATTGATGTTGGATAACAGTTGACATAATTCTACTTCCTGATTAACAATAATACACTTGAGTCACTTTGGTAAGTACTAAATCAACTGTTAAAACGTCAAGCTTTGTGTAAACCACAAAACAGAGAGTTTTCTATGTGCCATTGGCATGCAGAAATAACACTTTAGGTGGACTTGCCAGCAGCGAATCAAGAGTTTGTGTAAATCACCCAGATAGAAATAAGCAGATGTGATTATGTGACAGACGTGCAGAATGTTACTCTAATTGTTATGCAGAACAAGACCAGTCGATGGAAAAGTACAAGTCTGTCTTATGCTGTGAGGATGTCTTATGCTGTGAAAGCCCCAGGAAAAGGGATGAGCTGAGTCAGGTCTAGTGTATAAGATGGCTTGTAGAGCTCAGTGAACATGCCTGTCTCTGCAGGTTCTCCATGAGGGAGAGAATTCCACAAACAGATGCATAGCATGCGCTGCAGATGTACAGCTAGTATTGCTTTTAGCAGCAGTCACACATTGCTATTCTGTGATTCAACATTGTTGATGACAAAGGTTAATCAGCATAATGAATTGTTTGTCTGCTCCATAAAAATGTCAATGCACTTATATATATATATTTTGACATTTTTGGTCAGTTTTGTTATAACTATAAATTGGTGCAGTTACAAATGGTAAGTTGGTTTTGATGCTTAGTACACCTTTGATGTAATCGAACTTTGAGTCAATCACAACTTAGTTTAGGGGTTGCTATATTACACATTTTAAATGGATAACAAGCCCACTGTTAACACATTTGTGAAATATTATAGATAGCAAAAGGTATTTTCCTTAGGATTAAGGCTTTGTTACTGACACATAAGTAGTCTACAGTACTCTAGACATTGTCTATTATTATATTACTGTCACTGTATTAATGCTTTATTAATATGTTCTATACATCATACTTTTAAAGAAGTCATTTGCAACTCCTAATCTAAGGTGTTTCAGAATGCTTACATTTTCAGACTTTTTTATAAGTTACATATACCATGATATTCTTTACCTTTAGTTGTGATGTCTTTGACTTGGCAGTTGTCACAAACTATACTGAAGGTTTGACTAACATTTTCAGGAGATAATGGAAAGAATGTTACCTAAAATAATAAAGATAAGTTGATGTCAGTGGTGAGATAATGGATTGGAATTTCTTTAACTACATAGGTCAACTTAGTACATAGCTTCTGTAACAAAACATGTTATAATACAATTTCATTGTGCTTTTCCATATTTATGTATTTTGTTTTTGCATAAAATAATACCACAATAATCTTTTAATGCAGAACGTTGCCTAATTTAACCTTTGTTAAAACATTGCTCAAATTATGTGTTGAATATTTAAACGTTTGAATTGATTGATTATTTAAAAGTATATGATAAGAAACTCCTTTGATAATCTCTTCATCGTTTTAAAAATTATTGACACAGCTACAAAGTATTATGACACCCTAGTTAAAGCTCTTTTTAAGAGAATTGCAATTGTTTGCTAACGTTCCCTTTTAAGGGAACAGCAACTCTTGTTGTTATGTTAAGATATTGGAGATGCATTTAATTTTACTCTTCACACAAATGAACAGGAAATACTGGTATTCAAAAGCAAAATATCCACCCCCCTAGTCCAGAGAGATTGACAAACTGTAGAAAACTGCAGGTGGGCATTGTTATCCTCTCATCCAGTAAGTAATAAAGTATTTAAGTAAATGATCTATGAGAGTGCCAGCTTTCTTATATAGACAGTCACATGATTAACACAAACAGTGTATTGAAAACAGCTGTATTGAAAGCTACTTTTAATGGCACAAACAGGCCCAAAATCAGCCCAAATGAGACCAGTTCAGTCCTCCTGCACCTTTGTAGGGGGCTAAATGATGTCAAACCCCCGAAAAAAGATGTTATATATCAGGAATGAAAGCAGCACAAATGCTAATTTCAATGGCACAAAACAGCACAAACTAACCACTAATAAATTAGGTGGGTTTAATTGTTTGTGCTGTTTGTAGGGGGCCCAACTTTACAGAGATTGCAAAAAGCCTGTCTTGGAGGATATATGTGCTGTGTTTTTCTTTGGTTAGACAGTAACACGGATTCCTTTATAATTAGACTTTAATATTGGTATGTATAAAGATGAGGAAAAGGTTGGCAATTCTTAATTAAATCTAAAGAGACTTCTCAAGTCTTCTTCACACTTCCTCTTAAACTCTCAAGGTTAAAACAGAAATACAAAGCTTGTCCATCAAGAGACACTTACTGAGGCTTTTAACAGGAGTATAATTCAGGTTTCTAATATTATACATCAGGTTATAAACAAAACGTTGATGAACATTTACTTTTTATTCACGAAGCGTGTCTAAGAGAAATAAACACACCTCTACAACTGTTGCCTGTCCAGGGTCCAATTCAAAGAGTGATGGACTGATTCCAAAAGGAGGCTGGTCAACAAAGCTAGCTGTGGAAACAGACTAAAAATATAATTCATAAGTAAGCAAGTGCAGGTCAAATCACTCTATATCAGTACATTGCAGGAAAAGGTTTTTCTTCCTCTGAAAGGAGTGTAAAAATTTTACCCTAAAATTTGCTGCTGGCCACATTGTCTTCGGCATAATACAAAACTTCCCAGAGCTTAGTCCTTCATTCTGGCAAAGAAACTCCACAATCTTCACCCCACCAACCATGCAGTAACCACAGTCCAAGACACTGGGCACTAATAGTTCAGGAAGGAAAAGAATGCAACAATATCAGTGTCACTACATGCAAACAATTTTAGAAAATCACTGTTTAGAAAATGCTAATTACATCGGCTTGTAAATGTGTAACAGCTCTTTTGTTTGTTTTTGTTTACATATTACTACACAAACAGTTTCAGGCACATGAGGTTCTCAAATCAATTAAAAAATATCTTAATAGATTAGGGATAGTTTAAAATCAAATAATTCAAAGAGTCTACATCACTACTTTGTAGTGAATTACATTACCTCTGTTGTAATATTTATCTAATATCACAGAGAATTTGGTGGATTAAAGTGGCTTCTGATTTTTATTTCAGATGGAAGAACATTATTAAAATTCCATTTGGCTGCTGCCATCTACATGTATCTCACAGTAATCCCAAGAGTGCTTAAAGTACTTTAAAGTAATGCTAATGGATATATTGAATAAACCTGTGACATGTTTCATGCATGCACACTTTTCATTATCACCAGTTTTCATACAAAAATGTGTTTGGTTGCAGCACATACAAGGCATGAATAAAAAAAATCACCTGGATGATGTTGTAGTGGTCAGGTATCACTGGTGAGAGTGCTATGATTCTATAAACCAAGGGCTGCAAGGTCCTAAAAGTAATCCTACCAGGGGGCAGCTCTACACAAAGGACTAATAGCAAAAATGATGTGTCGGATTCTTTACAGAAATAAATTGTGCCAGTGAGCTGCCATGACTTTCTATGGTGGTGGGGAGTCATTCATAGCATCAAAGCGTATGAAATGTGTCTTCTAACTTTGATTGCTTTTGAACTTTGATTTCCTTTTATTGTTCAGTAAAACAAAGAGCACACACTGTACTGTACATTGTAGAATGTAGCTTCTGCCTTAAGAGTTTTGATCTTACCCTTCTGATGCTAGCCAGCCCCATGGCTATGTGTTGTTATTAACAAATTTGTTATATATGTCACACAATTTCGTTTCGGTGCAGCATATACAGTGCTGTACATACTGTAAAAGGTATGAATATGATTAAATTCTGACCATAATTTTTCAGAATCCAATCTAGGTAAGCTGTGCATTCCAAAATACCGTATATATAATATTTTAATATATTGAAAGGTGCTGGATTGCTAGCTCTAGCAGCACTATTTACAGTTTAAGCATTGCAGAAAACTGTCCAGTAAGTTTAACTACAAAAAACAACTGAAGAAGACTCCACGGCCGAAACAGCATGGAATAAACCTATTACTTGGCGCAGCGGTGGCACTGTGGCTAAGGATCTGCACCTATGGCTGGAAGGTTGCCAGTTCATATCCAGCGGCCGGCAGAGGAATCCTACTCTGTTGGGTCCTGAGCAAGGCCCTTAACTCCAGCTGCTCCAGGGGTGCTGTATAAATGGCTGACCCTGCGGTTTGACCCCAAGCTTCTCTGTCCCCGAATGTGTGCCTGTGTGTCTTATGGAGAGCAAACTGGGGTATGCGAAAAGATAAATTCCTAATGCAAGAAATTGTATATGGCTAATAAAGTGATCTTATCTTATTACTTCTTCTACAAAAACTACAAAAATGTTGCCAGCAGGGGGTGCTATCCTCCCTCCCATATTTCCTCATTCACACTTTGGAAAGACCACATAGACCCGCGGTCTCCAAGTTCAAGCTCCCTGACCTCCTTTTTGGAAATGAAAGGGACAATTTTTCTGAGGGCTGCAAACTGTGAGTTTGGAGCTACTGCCTTTCGTAACTTAGCCATAGTTTAGTCTACTCAAGAAGTGTTAAAATGTCTTTTAACATACTCAAAATGTTAAAATTCCAAAACTCACAAGTTAAAATGGGAGGTGGTCTTCTAGCTTCAATGGGCACCACCAGTGGGTAGGGAGCCTGTGTCTCCACTAAGACAAAGTCCTCAAAGTCTGCCAGCGAGTCAGGAGCAAATCGTACCGTGTAGTGGCAGCTCATTCCAGGAGCCACAATCCCACCTTCTCCAGGAAATTTTCCTAAAACAGTGAAATATATGTATTAAAAAGAGCACATTCACTAAATTAAAATTCAGAAATACACTAACTCACATTACAGAAGAAGAAAACACAGAATTAATAAGATTATATTATCCATTCTAGAGCCACCTACAGTGGTGTGAAAA